AAATGTACTTGCAAAGTATCTTATAGTCAGTCAAATGTCTGTTGAATGTCTGTATCAACAGATATGAAGCAGACAGTCTACTAATACTCAAATGGACCATCAAAACAAAGTGTTACTGTACTTTTTTTTTTTTTTAGATTTTTTCATCAGTTAAGACAACGTTAGCACCGGTCAGCTTTAATATTGGGGAAAACTGGATAATTTCGAGCTTTTGTTAGCTAATTTTATCTTTCGGGTTTCATGATTCACAGGGTTTTTTGCATGTTTTTTTTTTCCCACGATGATCTTAAGACCCATACAGCAAAGCTGTTTGTATTTAGCAAGCATTTTTCTTAGAAGAGCTGTACGAGAATTGGAGAATGGCGGACTTTGTCTTTTATCAATTGAGTTCGTTACCATTCAGACACATCGCCTAGATCCGATCTACTGTGTTTGCCTATGTTTAAAATCCTTCAGATTACCGGCAGAGTTAATGGTTGGAATAGATAGGCAAAGAGACCTGCTGCACTGCTATCCACTATGTCTGCATTCAGATCTGGGGATTGAGGAGCAGAGAAGTTCTCCTCATTTATAGTGTTTACATAAGCACAATTATCTTTATAATGATAACAAATTGTTGTGTATATGAATTTCCGAATAACAAATGTAGCAGGGCAGTAAATTACTTACTAATTATTTCTTTGCATTTCAACTTTGTAAACCATAAATTCATGGGTCTCCTCACGGTTTATGGCTCATATTGTGAGCTAACTGACAACAGTTGTTCGCTCCCCTCTTTCTACCCTGCTTTGCTGGCCACGCCCACTCCTCCCTCTGCTCGCAGAGCTCCACACCCATCTTGGAGAATTTTTTATAGACTTAGAAGTAGACTTAAACCGAAAGAGAGGGGTTTCATGACCCTTTAAATTAGTGTTTCTCTGACATCATATGTGGCTATGGACCTAGGCTGGCTGGCTATATATAATTTGTACAGATTTTTGCAACTATTTTGCAGCTCAAGGAAATAAAAATGCAAGGAAACTTTATAGTAATGATACGAATAAACATAGATAATATACCATCATGGGAAGCCACATACATACAGTACAAGCATAAATATTAAAACGATACTGCAATTCACCCAAAAATGAAAATTCTGTCATCATTTACTCACCCTTATTACAAAAATGTGGGACTTTTATCAAACACAAAATAAGTTAATTTGAAAAATGTTAAAACCTGTAACCATTGACTTAATAGCATTTGTTATTCCTACAATGGAATTAAATGGTTACTGGTTACTAACATTCCTCAAATTAACTTCTGTTGTGTTCAACAAAAAAACAACAACAGATGTTTGGAACCAAATGCAATGACTTTATTATTTTTGAGTGAACTATTCCTTTAAAAACATTTACAATGACTTCAAACCTCTATAGTTCTCAGCTTATTGCACATTAAGTGCTGTTTAAGCCAAATTAAAGATACTTTTAACTTCTTTTCAGTTGCACACCACTCAATATATCCAACAGAAACAATAGGATACAGCAACAAGCTAAATAACAACTATTCTTAAAAACTAGACTCCTCCTGACATGTATCGTTACACAAAAACCACTACATATCCTTCATTCTACAAAACATTATCTGTAATTCCCTATTCAACAACCTTTTCGGGAGCAGGGATTTCCATTCACAGTATTAATGAGACACTGATCCAATAAAAGTTGGCCCTTAAAGGAGACCTATTATGCATCTTTTAACAAGATGTAAAATAAATCACTGATGTTCCTACAGTGTGTGCGTGAAGTTTCAGCTCAAAATACCACACAAATAATGTTTTATAGTTCTTTGAAACTGACCCTTTTAGGCTTGCAAATAGTGTTGTTTTGGTGACTGTCACTTTAAATTCAAATTAGATTGTGATCTTTTTAAAATAGGGCGGAGCTATAAATGCATCAAGCAGAGCATCACCGACATTATCTACAGCAGGTGACAACTCTAACAGCAGATGGCTGCTTCTCACTCAGGGCTGTTTATGCTAATGAGGGAGAGATTGTCACTAATGGGCGGGGCTTTCCCCCTTTGATGACACGTACAAATGGAGATTGTCAATCAAACTGTTTCTGGAGACCGTTTTTATTAAGTGTGATTCTAAAAAATAAAAATAATCCATTTAAATAATTAGATACTGGCTATGTTTACACACTCTTGCCACACAACTGTGTTTAAGTCCCTTATAAAAGTGATTTTTGCATAATAGGTGCCCTTTAAATCTCCCTGATCAGTCCAAAAGCTTAATAAAAAAGAGATCATATCTACCAGGTAACGCCAGACACTCAGTACTCATTTGAGCGAACTAAAATGAGCGAACGACATGCCAGCGAGAGGAATCAGAAACAACAACAAAAAAGCTGAAACCTCCCTCCTCCCCGGAAAATTGCAGCACAAACAGACGCGCGGATGCATGCGGGCCTTCAGCCTACAAGCGGACTGTAATTCAGTGTAAGCACCGGGCCGCTGCTCAGTGGGAATAGCTCACATATGGACTGTAAACAGAGTGATTAGAGAGATGTGGAGCGGCTCGGCCCCTGCGCTGCCTGAACAGCACCCTGGGACTCTTTACATCAGCACACACACTCACACACACACACACACCTGCAGGTAAAAGAACGGCTTCCCTCAGATGAAGGAGACCGAGACTGCGCCAACACATAGTGTGAGGTGTTTAAACAGCACATCTGATTATTAAAAACAAAAGGAAGCGTCTTTGAAAGGGTGAATCTCAATGTAACGCATCAAGGTTGGGTTTGAGCATAATATAAGGATGAAAAAATTTTACATTTAAGAAAAGAAGTCAATTTTTTTATATAATTAACTACTAGATTGGACTCTAATTTTTGAAGTTAGATTTATTAGCCCCCCTTTTATTATTATTATTATTTTTAATATTTCCCAAATGCTGTTTAACCGAGCGGGGAAATTTTCACAGTATGTCTGATAATATTTTTTTCTTCTGTAGAAAGTCTTATTTGTTTTATTTCGGCTATAATAAAAGCAGTTTTAATTTTTTTTAATGAGTTATTAAATCTATTATGATTAGAAATGTGCTGGATAAATCTTTCCGTTAAACAGAAATTGGGGGAAAAATAAACAGGGGGTGGGCAATTATTATGCAGTTTTATCAATTAATTCATTCATTTTCCTTCGGCTTAATCCCTTATTTATACGGGGGTCACCACAGAGGAATGAACCACCAACTATTTCCGCATGTTTTACGTAGTGGATGCCCTTCCACCTGCAACCCAGTACTGGGAAACACCCATACACACTCATACAATGCGGCCAATTTAGTTCATCCAATTCATCTAGCGCATGTGTTTGGACTGTAGGGGAAAACCAGAGGAAACCCACGCAACAACATGCAAACTCCACACAGAAATGCATCCGGGTCCTGCTGAGACTTGAACCAGTGGCCTTTTTGCTGTAAGGCGACTGTGTCAACCACTGAGCCACTGTGCCAACATATTATTACTTTAGTTAAAAGCTAAACATTTCTGAACTACTAAGGTCACCAATAAGCTGTTGACTGTTTCCAAACAGATTTCCCAAACATCATCTCATTATTTACAGTTGAAGTCAAAATTATTAGCCCCCTTTGATTTAAAAAAATAAATAAATAAATAAATAAAATTCACAGTATGTCTGATAATATTTTTTTTCTTTTGGAGAAAGTCTTATTTGTTTTATTTCAGCTAGAATAAAATCAGTTTTTAATTTTAAAACACCATTTTAAGGTCAATATTATTCGCTTCTTTAAGCTATATTTTTTCTATAGTCCACAGAACAAACCATATTTATACAAATCTTGTCTAATTACTCTAATCTGCCTAGTTAACCTAATCAACCTAGTTAAGCCCTAAATGTCACTTTAAGCTTAATAAAAGTGTCTTGAAAAATATCTAGTAAAATATTATGTACTGTCATCATGGCAAAGATAAAATAAATCAGTTATTAGAAATGAGTTATTAAAACTATTATGTTTAGAAATGTGTTGAAAAAAATCTTCTCTCTGTTAAAACAGAAATTAGGGAAAAATAAACGGGGGTCTTGTTCAGGAGAGCTAATAATTCTGACTTAAACTGAATATATATATATATTAAAATAAAAAATTTTTTTGTTTATTTTGTTTTAATCTTTAACAGAACTCAAAGTAAGTATTTTTATTAAATGTAAATGATAAATTCTCCACACAACACATCCATATTCATAAATACATTCATTCCCATCGCAAATCGATTAAGTTAACTTAAAAAATTTAAGTAGATTGAACATAAAACAATTAAGTTGTCCTACAAAAATCTCGAGAATTGTGTTGTTTCAGCTTAATTTAAATAAGTAGTTTGAACAAGCAGTGAAATAAACGTTATTGGTGTGCAACAATACATTAATGAGAATGTGTGTGTGTGTGTTTAGCTGTTAATTTTGTTTTCTTTCTTAAGCAGATATTTTATTTTGTTGCTTTTTTTTTACATTTAATTTAGTTTAATAAAAAAAGCCTACGTACATATGCATTCTGTAACAAAACACTACTATGCATCCCTTTTTAGCATTACAGTAATGAGAATTACGCCATTTCAAATGCGGATTACTCTAATGACCATTAAACACAGCACAATGCACAAATGAATCCAGCAAAATACGGCCTTGAAAATAGGTTAAAAACACGGCGTGTTGACAGGTTTCGTGAGATTCACCCATAACAGTCGACAGCTTGTAATGCATTATCAAGATCTTGGTGGTTCACCCATTGTTTACCCTAAACAATACTGGCATTCACAGCGGCCAGCACTGCTGCAAGAGCATCAAAAATAAAGTGCATTAATCTACGGGGGATGACAATGGCTATTGATTTGGACTTCTATAGCAATTCTGTCCATTTCCACTCTATCAAACTCTGGGCATTTGTAAAAAGGGACACTTGCACAATCTTGGCAACCAAACGTGGAAGGCTCCAGCAC